CCCCAAAACCCCAAAACCCCAAAACCCCAAAATGCTACTAGAACATTGATAAATTCCCTAAATAATATTTGTTAAGAATACTAAACACATATCTCTCAGGGGATAAATACTTTAGCTCAAGTAAATCCCTAAATAAGCCGTGTTATTTCCTAAGTGCTACACAGTGGACTTTACTGGTTCAGGAAGTACTCTCTAGTTTCGATGTATTCGAGCTAAAGATTCGACTCCAAAACACCATTTAAAACAGAGTTTGAATGGCAAGCTTAAATTATGGGAATAATTGGAAGGGAGTTCACTCTAAAACTGATATCTGTTACATAATAGCTCCTCTTCAGTTTGGGCATGTACAATCCCTGTATCTCCCGCAGTAAAGCACATGTTCTTCAAATCATTCGGCATGGAAGACATGGCCTCATGTATTGATGCTCCTGAGCACATCATCTGGAAGGAACTGGTCTAAGCAGAGGGTTCAAGTTGTATCATCTACCCTAAAGTGTGTCTGGGGCTCTTCAGCTGGGGCATGTCCTTTCCAAGCATCCTCTTCTGGACCAATCTTTTTTGAAGTGTAAACGAACAATTTCTGGTTGTCTATCTTGGCAATCAGCTCCAGTCCCTTCTTACGATTCTCTTTCACTTTGTCGTTAGAGACTTTACCAAGACTCTCTCTGATCCCAATAATGAGTTGTTTCCTGTTCAAATAAACGGGAGAGCTTACCTGTCTTCATCAAGATTACACTTATCAAGGTCCTTTTTGCTTCAAACCATTTTGCGAAATTTTATCTGTGATTTTAGGAAATCACTAATGAGTTTCTCATGAGGAGTCAACACAGGTTTCTTTTGCTTGTTTAGATTTTCCAGTCTTTTCTTTCGCTTTTCTTCTTTATCTATACTATGCTAGTTTTCATGTTGAAGAGAAAGATTCTAAATGAAAGAATTCATACTTAAATCTTGAGCCAATTTTAACATTTTTGCAAGATCTTTATTTCTGCTGAGTGACTCTTGTATTTGTGCTTCTATTGATTTTGCTCTTACTGAGTCTACTTTTCTCCCTTCATCGGATATATCTTCGTTGCTCTCATCTGACCTTGAGACATCCATGTCCTGGTCAACTTGTGACTCATCATCGCTGGAATGACTCGACTCGAGGTTATCAGATTCTTTAGACTCTATAGTCCCGAATGATTCTTCACTTATCAGAATTTAAACAGACTTATCCAGAAAACTGCAAATTTGTGGATGCACCACTTACCCTCGATTGGAGACTCAGAAACAGCTCCTGTCACATCAACTTGGACGTTGTTGATCCTTCCGAGTTTATGCTGCTTGCTGGCTTGCTTCTGCAGCTTCTTCTCTAACTTCTCTTTGTCTCTGAGTTTTTTGAGTCTTTGCTTCTCAAGCTTCTTCTGTGCTTTCATTTCTGCCTTCTGTTGTTTGAGTCTGGCTTTTTCAAGTTTCAAAAGTTCTTTCTCAAGCTTCTTGAGTCGCTTCTGTTCGAGTTTGAGTTCGCGTTGCTCTCTACTGATAAGACATTGAGTTACTTCTTGTCTTGTTTGTCAAGCATTTTATGCTCTTTGTTATACATCTTGGCTTGTTTGGCATCTTCGGTTTCGTTAGTGAGTCTGCGGAGCCTACACACAAAATAGAAACATAAACACAAAAACCCACTAATACAACAGCTTACTCAGCTCTCCTGAGCTGCCTCTCAAACTGTCTACGCTGTCTCTCCACATCAAAACTAGATTGTTCCTCATCATCAATCTGCTCTTGGTCAACTCTAGGCTTATGAACAATCCTAAATTACCCTCATAAAGCACCTTTCAGAACTCCGAAAAAGCCTTCAAGTGGGCCAGAGTTTTCTCTAAAATTTGGTTCATTCTGAATCTCTAATTCTTCATTCGAAAATTCGTTTTCTCTGTTTTCCATTATGTGTTTCTATCTGCAAAGTTAATACTTATCCAATTTTTTGCAAATTTATAGGGGTTTTGGGGTTTTGGGGTTTTGGGGTTTTGGGG